GTTCACTGAAGTTTAGATTTAACCAGAGGCAAAGTTAGGGTGACAAATGATGAATCAACAGGGGCAATCACTTGAATTAACTTTGAGTTTTAATCTTTGCCTCCCTGTTTGAAGTTATTCTGGGCAAATGAACGATTTGAACTGCGAACTTATGGGTCTCATTTTATCAAGTAAAGTTCTTTTTTTTTTTTTTTCCTTTGAGAAGGGGAGTACCAGGGATTGAACTGAAGACCTTGTGCTTGACACTGAGCTAAATCCCTGGCCCCTCAAGTAAATTTCTAATTTAAAAAAAAAGTCTTGCCAGGCATGGTAACGCACATCTGTCACCCCAGCACTCTAAAGCCAGCGTGGGCTGGAAAGTGAAGGCCAGCCTGAACTACATAGCAAAGCCCTGTCTAGAAAGACAAAAAATAAAACAAAAATGTAAAGGGCTGGGGATGTGTAGCTTAGTGGTAGCACCCCTAGCTTCAGTGGCCAGTACCACTCCTTTAAAAACATAAAGTAATGAAGCCAGAAGGCTGAGGCAGGAGGACTGCTTGAGGGCACCCAGCCTAGAAAATAGATTTCTTTTAAAAAAGAAAAAGCAAGCCAGGGCTAGGAATGCAGCTCTGTGGTGGGGTGCTGCTTAGGAATGCTTGAGGCCCAGGGTTAATGTCCAGGACCCCAAAACAGCTGAACATGGACCATTACCCTAATCAAAATTCTTTGATGGCTTCTTACTGCCATGGGAAGCCAATCTAAGCCCAGGAGCCCAGTACAAGGGGTTCTGCAGGATTCACCAACTCCATCTCCTCTGTGGCCCCAGGTTGGTGAGAGCCTTCTCTCCAAGTGCACACCTGGCCTTCCAGATCTCTCCACTTGTCCCAGTGCTAGGAATGTCACCTCAGCTTTGCACACAGCTAACACAACCTCACCTTGCATGTGTCAGCTCAAATGTCCTTTTTCTTTTTTGTGCTGGGGATCGAACTCATGACCTCGAGTTTGCCAAGCAGACACTTACACCACTGAGCTATCGTCCTCTCTTTTTCAACATTCAAATGGCGAAGGGAATTGGGAGGGAGGTGGAAAAGAAAAAATGAGAAAAGGAAAAAATGGAAATGAAGCTTTTGTAAATAAGGAGGGCAAGAGGGGTTGAAAGGAGGGAAGGAGGATGGGGAAAAAAAAGAATCAAGTTATACCATGCACAGGTACAAATTGTCTATGATGAATATGATCATTATGTATACCTAAAATGTACCAATAATCTTTACTTTTAAAAAATTGTTTAAAGGTTTTTTAAAAAAAAGGTCATAATCTGTTCTAAAAATGCTCCTTGGTCATTAAGAGCCAAAATGATGGTTCACAACACACTCTTTCTGATCCACCACCATTTACAATTTTTCTTATCTGCAGTTACCATTTTTGTGTTGTTTTGTATCTTCCCCACTACACTGTAAACTTCATGAGTGCAGATACTTTGTCTGTCTTGAATTCCTCTAAAGGCAACTTGAAAATAAAGAAGCTGGATGGGGGAAAGGACGTAAAAATAATGAAGATGGAATATGTCTATACACCAATTCCCCAGCAGGAACTCATGACTATGAACTGCAAACCTACACTAACAAAAAAGAAAAATCCACTTTTTCCCCTCTAGTTTATTTTTGCTCTCTCCTTGTTTCAAACTTTATTGGATTTTGGTCAAAGATTATAATTACTTTGGCATTTACCATGAAAAATGAGCAAAGAAAAGCAACAAGAAACACAAAAATTGGAACTTACTCCACCCACCCGGCAGTCTAGACTGACACCGACTGTACGCAGGCATTCAACTGCTCCCTAAAAAATGTTCGGATGTGGGAGGAAAGAGAAATGTGGACATATGCAAGATGGTGTCATTCTGGCATCTGAATAAAAAATCTAAGTTTTTAACCACTCTCCCTAACCATTACCAGACAGAACGCTAAAAGGAGAATAAAGAAGTTGAAGCACAAAAGAAAATGCATGATTCTTTCTCCACAGAAGTTGGGTTTCATAACTTGACTTGTTTTGCATTTAGCTGCATTATCTACATCTTTCTAGCTCTTTTTTCCTGACCTTCTGTATCTTCATCTATAGTCTGTTACTAGGTTTTACATTTAGAATAACTTGCTCAAATTTCCCAAAACCCAAAAGGTACATCTGCAATTTATAATTCAGTAAAGAATCTTTACAAGGCTTTATCTCTAGGTTTTCCATTTTCTCTACCCCATTCCTAATTTTTGTATAAATACTGGACTCAATTCTATTTTTGCTGCACAGCTGTCTTGACTAAACTAGATGGCCTACCTAGACCTAGAAGCCTATATTATATAACTTTCTACTGGAATGAGACAATGTATGTTAAAATTGTACTCAGACTTTAAAATCTCAGGATACCTAAGTCTTTCTACAGGAAAATGATTATAGTAATTTGAAAACTATCAGCTACAGGGGGAGGAGAAATAAAACTGATGTGAGCAATAACACTGAAATCCAAGGGAGTTTGGACTTCAACTGTCATGCTCCAACTCAAAAAAAAAAAAAAAAAAAAAAGAGTATGTCATATGTGTGCACATGTTAACCCTGGAATCAAGTGCAGAATTTTGGATTAATCCCAGCACTCAGGAGGCTGAGGCAGGAGGACTGCTGAGAGTTCAAAGCCAGCCTGAGCTACAGAGTAAGTTGAAGGCTAGCTTAAACTACATAGGGAGACCCCCCATCTCAACAAGACAAAAACAAAACAAAAAACGAAAAAACAAAGGCTCCAATTTAAGGGGTCCTGGGTAAGCCATAATTTCAATACTGCAGAAGGCTAGTGATGCCAAAAATTTGGACATCAGAGGTTAAAACTGAGACTAACACATTTTAAGGAGAAATTGGCCCTGACAAGTAATGGAGGAAGAGATGACTTTGCGGATCCACATTTAAAAACATAATGGGGGAGGGGGTGAGCCCAGCCGCAAAAACACAAAACCATCTTCCTGGGCCAGTCTCAGTGGTGGATTGCTCACCTAGCGTGAGAAGCTCTGGTTTTGTCCCTAGCAGTAACAAAGAAACCAAACCAAACCAATTCCCCAGCTGATTCTGACGCTCAGATTTGAAAGGCAAAGAACATGGTTTTTGGGGTGCAATGCCAATTTTATCACTTAAAAATCATAAGACCTTGAACGATAGTCTCTGAACATTAGTTCTTTTCCTAATAGGTAAGTAATAAATACTGCAGAGATCGATATTCCTATTTACATAAAATGCATAATACAAAGCACCAAACCTGGCAGTGAGATGTTCACTATCCGGGATGTTGGTTTTATTTAAGGGTTTAACACTCATCACTTAGGCACTGTTTCCTAAACAGCAGGACAGACCTTGTAGCGCCACGAATGTTAAGTTTCTCCACTGGAAATTAACCACTTACTTGCCATCTCTGTGGGTTCTTACAGAAATCACAGCCTCACACTACTTTCTCCTCTTTCCAGTAACAATTTAAAACAAAGTTAAAACCTCTACACATCTGCTTTAGATACATAACCACCACCCCGCACCTATTTCTGGGGATTTTTAAAGGAAACATTCTTTTAAAAGCACAGTTTGAGTGATTTAAAGTCATTTTTCAGATCAGAGGTCTAAGCAACTTTTCCTCTACTACCCTCAAGTTTCAAATCGCCTTCCCACAACTTGACCACCGGATCAACTTCTCCCCAAGATGGTTTTGGAATATAACCAACTCCGAAATTAAGAACGGGCTCTGTGATCGTGCAAGGCACTGTCCTCGCCTCTCTCTCTCTCTCTTTTTCTCTGTCTCTTTATTATAAATTTTAAGCCCTGTCTGTCTCCGCTCCGACCGGAGTGGACTCCGGAGAAGCCTCGGGCCAGGTCCTCTGCCCAGCCCGGCCCGGAGGACAAAGCCGGGCGGCTTCGGCTCGGGAGAAGCCGCCGGGGCCCCAGCACCTCCATCTCCGCGCTGGGACTTGGACCCGACCCCGACCAGTCCCTCTAATACCGCGCGGGTAGAAGCAGCCGCAGCCTAGCGCCGCTCGCTCCGGGGTCTCGGGACCGGGTCGCAGCCCGCGCCGCCGGGAAGATGGCGCCCGCCGAGCAACTGCGCCACCAGCCTGGCGCCAGGCCAGCCCAGCGCCATTTTAGCGCGCGCCGCAGTCGGGCGGCGGGGCCGGGCCGCGAGCTCCGGGCCCGGACACTGCGGCCACGGGTGGTGGCGTCGCGTTCCGGGCCGGGCCCCGAGAGGGCGTGAGAGGCCGGGCCGGGGCCGGGGTCGGCGGCGGGGCGGGGACCGGGCGGAGACGGCCATGGGGGGGACCGGGAAGCGCGGGGAACGGCGGCGGCGGAGGGCAGCGGGACGCCGGGCCGAGGGGAGCCCGCCCCGCCGCGGCTCCATCTTGCTGAGGCGGCGGCGAGCGCGGCTCCCGGGCGACACCGAGCGCGGCGGGAGGGGACGCACCGGCCACTGCCGCTCCAGCCCGGCCCTGCCCGCCCGCCCGCCGGCGCCGCCGTCCATGACTCACGCCGCTCCCCCGCCCGCCTCGCCGCCCCCTTCCCGCTCCCTCTCCCCGCTCCACAAATTTGCATCCGCGGAAAAGGAAAGAAAAAAAAAGAGAGAGAGAGAAAGAAAGGAAAAAAAAAAAACCCTCAGCCGCCTCCCGGCGGGCGCCCCCGGCCCCGGCGCCGCGGCCCGCGCTCCCCACCCCCACGCACCCACCCCCCAGAAACGCGGCCTGGCCAATGGCTCTCGGGGCTGAAACCTAATATCCTGCTTTTGGCAACTCGGGGTTTAATTTGCTCCTCTTTCTCCGCTGTCTGCGAGGAGATGGATCTGCGGCTCCCCCGCCCGCCTCCCGCCCTCGCCGGCTTCTCCCCTCCCCGAAGGAAACCGGCGAGAGGAAGGAGCTCGCGCTTGTGTGCGTGTGTGTGTGCGCGCGCGTGTGTGTGTTTTCTCTCTCCTTGAAATTTTTATCACAAAATTATAATACACTCAAAGGGAAACTCACCGTCATGAAAAAGCAGTGCCTTGTCAACGGGGTTTCTGCGCCATCGCACCAGGGGCGGCGGCGGCGGCGGCGGCGGCGGGCGCGGGGCGCGGGGCGCGGGCGCGGGAGCTCCCGGCCGAGCGGCGCCGGCCACACGCGCTCCGCTCGCTCTCCCGCTCACCCCCGCGCTCCCCGCGCCCGCCCGGCCTGCCTGCTCCGCGCCCGGGCCCCCGGCTCGCCCGCTCGCTACCGCCAAACTTCGCTGCTCGCCTGCCACCGGAGGGGGAGAAAAATTAGGATTTTTAAAATTAAAAATTAAAAAAAATTTTTTTCGTTAAAAAAAAAAAATCAAAGCTCCCAGGCTGTTCATTCCTGTTTCCTTTGAGATTCTTGGTAACTTTGACATGTATTTGGGGCTGATTCGGGTTTATTGGCTTTTTTTTTTTTTAAGATCTACAAGATGTGTGCTAATTCTCCGCAAGCGCCCTGCACACACACACACACACACACACACACACACACACACACACACACACAGAGGCACACGCACACAGGCACACATGCACACCACCTCAGGTTTACTTTGGGGGGGACGACTGAAGAAAAAAAAACACAGTATTTGGTTAGAAACTAATTAGAGCAACTCACAGTAAATACTTTTTTGCATATCTTAAAAAACACCTAACGCACCACTTTTAACTTCCTTGGTAAACAACTGGTTTATAGTTTTAAATGTACTAAACTGCACAACACCCTTTTCCCATTCCAGAATGTGTGAAATCTCACCTATGAAACTGAACAGGTCCACATTAAAGAGAAAAACAAAACTACTTTTCAACTAAGGTGAAGGAAAGCATTCAGAGGATTGCATTCCTTTTGCCTTTTCTATATGCAAGGTGTCTTTAACTCCTTATTTGTGGAGTTTGCATGAAATAACCCCTGTTCTCAAAAAGGAAGTTAGAAAGGCTTTAACACTCCTCAGCCCAAGTCTAATTACCACCTGTTTTATATCTAATTGTAGAGACTTCTCCCTAAACCGGTTAGGCTCCAAAGCGATTAACTAAACGTTAATTATGATACAAGACATGAAGAAAAAGAGATTCTTTGGAGTCTGAGTTAACTGCAGATGCCCACAAAATGTAGTGGAGGGTGTGATGTTGTCTTTTATTTGAAATAAATATCAAAGATAGGATAAAGGATGAGTATTTGTACAGGACTGTAATTCAGGTTTGGCAGATATGTAAGTCAACCTTGAAAATGTTCGAAAATCTTTTAAATTAATGTGGTATGCTACTGGGAAGCAGGATGCTCAAAACCAGGTATCTGGTGACTTGCAGTTAAACAAACATGCCTAAATGTAAATTATTTAAATAAAATTGATGGGTTTCTCTGTTGTTTTAGGATGAAAAACTTAATGGTAGGGCTATGACTGAGCCCCTATTCCAGTACTAAAACAAAACAAAAGGTCCTGTGCCTTGTGGGGTGCTGTAAAGAGACATGTACGTGAAATATGTGTCCAGGCTGGTGTACAATATTGGACACAGATCTTTTTAAAAACCTTATCTCTTATTAATTGCCACTATATCATTCATAATATGTGCTTTTTATTTAAAGATCCTTAAAATACATCCAGTGACTTGGGGTCGCACAGTATCTTAGAGCTGGTTTTCAGCCAAGGCTTTCCATAAAAGGTAGTGTTTACATAAATCAGCATATTTCTCCACGCGTGGTTGGACCAACCAGTTTTCTAATTGGCTTGGGAATTTTTTTAAACATGTTTTAAAGTGCTTTTGCATTGGATGGAATCAAATCATGCTACCCATTTGGAAGAATTATATTTCAAAAGAGTTCATGGATTATTCATTGCAATTAGGGCCCACCAAGCAAGTTTTACAGCTGTCGTTCCACATGAAATATTAATGGCTTCAGAAAGGTATCCTCCTCAGTTGGCCAAAACCCCAAGGAAACTACAAATCTGACTTTAAAGATGACCTCCTGTTACCCTGTTTCAATCATTATATAATGTACGCATATACTGAAATACAATGTATCTTAAATATGGATGACTATGTAAACCAGTTTAAAAAAAAAAAAAAAAACCTAACAGACCTGAATTTTGATACTCATAGAGTTCTGGGGCATTGCAGTTTCCTTTTATTTTTTAATTAGTTAATTATTGGATTTTTTGACACAAGGTCTCCCTATGAAGTTCAGGCTGCCCTTGAGTTTACAATGTAGTTAGGCTGGGCTCAAACTTCTAGAGATTCTGCTGCCTCCGCCTCCTGAATGTTGAGATTATAAGCGTGCACCACCACACTGGGCTGCAGTTTTCTTTTAGAAAATGCCCAAATTTAAAAAATAAAAAAGCCCAAATATAAGAGAATTGATTTTATTGAGAGACTACTATGTAATATCAGGTATTAAGCATGTGCCTTCACCTAAACCTATAGGATAAGGTCTAATTTTATCCTGGTATTTTTACATATGAGGCTGCCCAGGGTTTGAAGTGATTCACCTCTGAGAGGTCTGACAATTACAGGCTGCTGTGTCCATGTGAATCAGAGAGTGCAGTGCTGGGGAGCAGGCAGGGCCCCCCCACCTCCTTTCACCCAGAATCTCCACCCTGGCTTATACACTCAGCCTCTCATTGAATTGCTAAACTGCCCAGGCTGTGCTAAAACTTGGGGGCCCTCCAGCTTCAGCCTCCCAGAGTGCTAGGGTTAGGTACTCAAGATCTGTTTTGAGAATGTTAGTTGTCCACTTTGGATGTTTCAACAGGGTTGCTGTGAATTTGATACCAGTCTGAGCTACATACTGAGTCCAGGCCAGCATGGACTACGTAGGGAGACCCTGTCTCAAAGAGAGAGAGAGAGAGAGAGAGAGAGAGAGAGAGAGAGAGAGAGAGAGAGAGAGACAGAGAGACAGAGAGAGAGAGAGAGACAGAGAGAGAGAGAGACAGAGAGAGGGAGACAGAGAGACAGAGAGAGAGAGAGAGACAGAGAGAGAGAGAGACAGAGAGAGAGAGAGAGACCATGCTAGTCACACTAGTTGCCAACCTTAATTTTAAATCTAAGGTAGAGGCTTGCAAAATATTGAGACAGCAGTGAAGATTCAGATTTTCCAGGTACCAGCACACTGTAGTGATTTCAGATTAGGGCAAAACCAAAACAACTTCTCTCAAAAAAAACTTCCTATCTTTTCCCCATATGATTATGCAATTTCTCATATGCATCTGATGATGCTCTCTGATCATGACTTCTCATATTTTTAAGTTTTATTTTTGAGATGGAGTCTCAATATGATGTCAAGTTTGCCTTTGAATTTTATACCCTTCTGCATCATCCTCTTGAGTAGCTGGGATTACAGTGTGGGCTACAGTATTGGGGCAAAATGTAACATTTAAAATAAGGAACAACAGGGGCTGGGGTTTAGCTCAGGTCCTAAGTGCCTGCTTAGCAAACACAAAGTTGTGAGTTCGATCCCCGGTATCAAAAAAAAAAAGTAAAATAAGGAATATAAAATAAATTAGACACACAAATTAAACATCACATGGTTTGTCTTATATGAACATGGTGGCACACACCTGTAGTCTCAGCACTTGGGAAGCTGAGGCAGGAGGATCACCAGAAGTTCAAGGCCAGCCTGGGCAACATAGTGAATTTAAGGCCAGGCTGAACTTCATAGCAAGACCTGTCTCAAAAAATATGTATATTATTATATATTTATATAGGAAAGCTGCCTGAAATATATCAATAAGCAGTTGGCTTTTCAAAAATAAAATAAGCAATATGCTTTTGCATGTATAATTTAAAACTGTATTGTAAATAGTACTATGCTATCTGATCATGATTAGGAAAGCTTTTTTTTTGTCTTTTTCGTTTTTATCAGTACCAGGGATCCAACTCACGACCGCCTGCTTGCAAGGCAGGCACTTATGCCACTAAGCTAAATCCCTAGCCCTGATTAGGAAAGCTTTTAAGAGAAAAGTTCTTTAGTTGTATGGTCTACAATTTAATTATGTACAATTAAATGGTCATTCCTATGATTGTCAACCATTTACATGACCCAGAAAGAGGGGCAACCAGCTGAGTGTACTGCCCACCTGGAATTCCAGCACTCTGGGAGGCTGAGGCAGGAGGATCAAAAGTTCCAGCCCAGCGCAGACCAGCCCAACCAACTCAGTGATGTAGCAGGACACTGTCTAGAAATAAAAAAAATGAAGCCAGGTACGGGGGTGTAGGCCTGAGGTCCCAGCACTCAGGCAGCTCAAAAAGGAGGATGATCACCCCAACCTGAAGGCCAGCCTGGGCTACAAAGTGAGTGCAAGGCCAATCTGCTACAGAGAGACCTGTCTCAGAAAAAGGTTGGGGAGCACTGGGATGTAACTCAGCGCAGAAAGCCCTGGCCTGGCTTCAATCCCCAGGAGAGGAGAGGGAGGAGAGAAAGTGTTTTTGCTTTTTTGTTTTTCCCCTACAAAGTTCCCCATTCTCAAAGAGGAAGATGCAAATGCTGTAGGCTAAGTAGAGTCAGGCATGACGGGGCCACCACAGAAATAGCAAACATACCAGATGCCTGCGTAAGTGTTCTGTAGAATGTTTGTAAAATATTTCAAAGTTCTCAATGCAGGTCAAAAAGGTGCCTCTCTTCTAACTGCACCCCTCCAGGTAGACTCTCTGGCTTCAGTATTCCTGCCTCTGATTCAAATTCTGCCTCTGTCACTCACCAAGTGAGTATGGCTGTGTGTACCTCAATTTACCCTTCAGAGCCTCAACTTTCCCATCTGTAAAGTGGGGCTCACAATAGTCCCCAGTCCAAGAGTTATTTTAAGCATTTAAGAATGAGTACACTGGGGCTGGGGATTTAGCTCAGCGGCATAAGCACCTGCCTTGCAAGCAAGCAGTCATGAGTTTGATTCTTGGTACCGATAAAAAAGAAAAAGACAAAAAAAAAAAAAGAATGAGTACACTGAACTGGGGATTTAGCTAGTGGCTCAAGCACTTGCCTGGTAAGCACAAAGTCGTGAGTCGGATCCCTAGTCGCAAAAAAAAAAAAAAAAGGAGTACACTGGCCAGGGGTGGTGGCTGTAATCCTAGCATTTGGGAGGCTGAGGCAGAAGGATCATTTTGGGCTACAAAGTGAGGTCAAGGCCAGTCTGAACTGCATAGTGAGGCCTTGTCTCAAAAAGATTAAAAAAAAAAAGAATGAGTAAAGGAAGATGTAGGCCATGACACCCAACTCATGTGCCATCGCCTCCCCTTGGGGACTGTGGCAGCCCCTCCGATGAAACCTGACGACTCTTCTCTGTTCCCTCAGGGGTACCACGTCATCATCTCCATCTTTATATTCCCTCAGGCCAAACAGCACCCTGATCTATAAGAATCTAGGAAACAAGTGCCAGGACATAACTTGCTGGTGGATTATGTGCTTACCATGCATGAGGCCCTGGGTTCACTGATCAGTATCACAAAAGGGGGAGAAAGGATATATTTTTAAAAATATATATATCTGTGCTGAAACCTATATATCAAACCCATATATCAAAGGGACAAAGTAAGTTTCTTAGACCACATACGTCCATTGTCCCGTTGATCAAGGCAGCACACAGTCTGTTGTTCTGAAAGCTCTCTCTCCAGTTAGTCCTGCCCTCACCTATTCTGGGGATTGAACCCAGGGCCTTTGCACTGAGTTCCACCCCCAGCCTTTTTTTATATTTTGAGACCCTGTTTCTCTTCAGTCACTAAATTGCCTACGCTGGGCTAGAACTTGCAGTCCTCCTGCCTCAGCCTCCCAGACTGCTGGAGTTAAAGGTGTGCACCTGCACTCCCAGCTGGGCCCATTTTTTAAATTTTCCTCTGCTGGGTTTCCTTATATGTACTATAAAATGCAGGCAACAGTATCTACACCTCAGCAAGTCACACAATGGTAACTAAATAAAACCCTTGCTCTTGTAACAGTCAATGATGGTTACTGTTGGGGTTGTTATCAGTAGAAGGAATTCGGAATTGTAGAAGCAGTAGGAAGCAGACAATTCATTGCAGTGATTATGAATGTTTTCAATATTTTGCCTACATTATTACTTTCTTTGATATCGGAATATAAACATCTGAAATCATCTAGTGGAGGCTAAGGCTATTCTAGTCATGTCATATTTCAAGCTGGTATTTTCCCTGACAGATTTAAAAAACAAAAAAACAACCGTGAACTCCTACAAGCTTCCAGTACAAGGATAAGGAGTTAACACAACACAGCAGAGCTGTTAAAAAAACACAAAAGCCTTCAGCCCTCCTCCCACTGGGCTTGCTGTCTTACACATCCAGCCGGCTTCCCCGTGGGGAAGCGGGGGAGGACGCGCCGCAGGTTAGGAGGGCACCGTGTGCCGAGGAGGCCGGGGCTGAGCCGTCGCCCAGGGCTCCCGCCCTGCACACGCCCGCCGCGAGGATCCGGCTGGGAGGAAGCGCAGTGAGCTCACAACTTCCGGCGTTGCAGCCACCGCCGGGCTGGGGTGCAGCCGAGCTCCGGTCCGAGGTGCACGCAGCATGCATGCGGTCCTGGTTCCCGGGCCAGCACCCAGCCCACCCACAGGGCGCTCAGCTCCTGGGACAGGAGTCAGAGGGCAGGGTTTCTTTCTGAAAATGAAACGCAGGGCGCTAGGACTTCGCAAAGAGGAGCCATCCTACCGCGCCCTCGCAGACTGAAGCAGGAGGGGGGCAGACAGTAGGTAACAAGCGTGCATTCCTGGGTGCACGCACTCTACAGGGAGGGAGAAACCCTGTGAGGGCGGGCCTCTGTGTGGCTCCACCACACAGGATTTACCTTTATGTCGGCGGCACCGGAGATTGAACCCAAGGCCTTTGCACTGAGCTACACCTCTACACCTTTTAAAAAAAAATCGTATTTTTAAATTTTAAAACAGGTTCTCATTAAGTTCTCCAGGCTGGGCTTGAACTTTGAATCCACCTGCCTCAACCTCCCAGAGTGCTACAATGACAGATAAGCACCACCAGGCCCAGCTTCCATCAATATTTTAATCACTAAAAAGTCACCTTCACACTAGAGCACTGGAAAGCTGATGGGGTATTTTAGAGCCCACACAAACTAACCCATACTATCTTTTTTAGACTTTTTGCTTTTTGAGACAGGATCATGTTATGTAGTTCTTGCTGAATTTGCACTCACTGTGTAACACAGATTGGCCTCAAACTTGCAGCAACCCTCCTGCTTCAGCCTCTCAAGATTACAGGCATGCACCACCATGCCTGGCTCTCTCTTTAAATCTTTTAATTACTGCTTCTGTTTCCCAAGTACACTAATTTTTTTTTTTTTTTTTTGGTACCAGGGATCGAACTCATGACCTCACGCTTGCCAGGCAGGCACTTAGCCCCTGGTATCCTAAAATTATACAGTCTACACCATGAGCAAAAGCACCTATACTCTAGAATGTTTATACATTCTTCTCCATATAAACCATGCCAAGTCCTCTACCAGCTGGGTCTACTTTATCATTCTCCTGTGAGATAGGTTAGCTAGCATCAATCGGGGGTTGCCCAGTGACGGCAAAGGAGACCGACAGTGGATGAGTTATCTCCACTACTGACTGCAGGCATGCACCAAGACTCCGCCAATCCTTCTCTGAATCTGCTTTTTCTCTCTAGTTTTCCCTTATGTTTGAGGCACCCACTCTTTTTTTTTTTTTTTTTTTTTTTGGTCTTTTTCCTTTTTATCGGTACTGGGGATCGAACTCACGACAGCCTGCTTTCAAGGCAGGCGCTTATGCCACTGACCTAAATCCCCAGCCCCTGAGGCACCCATTCTTGCCCAGGCCACCCTGGATAGGTCTAAGATTCTTCTTTATGCTCTCCTTTCCCG